AAGAAGATGCCCCTCAGACATGGCCACAGGCCAGTCCAATAGAGGAAATTCCCCAATTGAGGCTTCCTCAACCCAGGTGTGTCAAGTCGACACTAAAGCTATCCAGCACATTACTCCTTTAATTTCCTTCTCTTGTCTTATTCCTCTGGCAAGAGTTTCAAGCACTATATTGAAAAGGAGTGGAGATAGTACACATCCTTGTCTGGTTCCAGATTTTAATGGGAATGCTTCCAGTTTGTTTTTTTCCATTTAAATTGATGTTGGCTGTGGGTTCATTGTATGCAGCTTAAATTATGTTGAGGTATGTTCCCTCCAATTCAATTCCCTTTAGGACTTTTATCATGAATATATGTTAAATTTTGTTGCAGGCATTTTCTGTATCTATTGAGATGACAATGTGGTTTTTTTCTTTGAGTCCATTTATATGATTTATCATGTTTACTGACTTGAATATATTGAACCATCCCTGCATCTCTGGAATAAAGCCTACTTGACCATGGTGGATTATCTTTTTGATGTACACCTGTATGCAGTTTGCGAGTATTTTGTTGAGAATTTTTGTATCTGTGTTCATTAAGGATATGGGTCTATAGTTTTCTTTTTTGGTTGTGTCTTTACCTGATTTTGGTATTAGAGTGATGCTGACTTCATAGAAGGAAATTTGGGAGTTCTCCCTCCATTTCTATCTTTTGGAATAATTTAAGTAGTATTGATTGGAGGTCTTCTTTAAATGTCTGGTAGACTTCTGCTGTAAATCCATCTGGGCCTGGGCTTTTTTCAGTTGGGAGATTTTGTATTACTGTTTCAATTTCCTTGTACTTTATGGGTCTGTTTAAACTGCTGATCTTTTCTTGGTTTAGCTTTGGTGCTTCCCATTATTTCAGCTATCCATCCATTTCTTTTAGGTCTTAATAGAGTATAGGTTTTTAAAGTATTCCCTTATAATGGTCTGGATCTTTTGGGTGTCTGTTGTGATGATTCCCCTTTCATCTCTGATTTTGTTGATTTGGATTTGCTCCTTTTTTCTTTTGGTTAACTGGGCTAAGGGTCTATGTTGTTTAGCTTTCCAAAGAACCAGATCTTATTCATTGATTCCTTGTAGTGCTTTGTTTCTATTTCATTAATCTCTGCTCTGATTTTTGTTATTTCTTCCCATCTGATGGGTTTGGGTTTCATTTGTTCTTGCCTTTCCAGAGTCTTGAGTTGCAACATTAAGTCATTTATTTGTGCTCTTTCTGATTTTTTTAACGTAGCCACTTAAAGCTATAAACGTCCTTCTTAGGACTGCTTTTAAAGTGTCCCAGAGATTTTGCTGTGTTGTATTGTCCTTTTAGTTTAATTCCAGGAATACTTTTATTTCTTTCTTAATTTCTCCTTTGACTCTTAATTTCTCATCATTTAGGAATGTGTTGTTTGATCTCCATGAGTTTGTGTCTTTACTAGGTGTGCTAGTTTGTTTCTTCATTGCTGTGACAAAATACTCTGATCAATACCAACTTGGGGAAGAAAGGGTTTATT